AACATGGAGATGCCATTGCAGCATGTTGTCATGGATTTAGTTTCTTCTAGCGTCTGGTGTTGTAATTGGGCAGCAGTTCATCGTTCCATAAGTCGGCATTCCCTGCTTAGAGCATTTCTCCTAATTCTTAGGATTAAGTAGCTTACCAATTCGTCCCTCACACTAAGGCACACACTTAGGCAACTAGGCACAAAGCACACAAGGAAAGAGAGAGAGAAAGATAGATAGATAGATAGATAGAKAGAGAGAGAGAGAGAAAGAAATGAAGAACTCAAAGAACTCTTTGTATTACTCAAGAGAGGGACACAATGCTTGGTTGCTTGTTTGCTTCTTGCTTTTCTACTTGATGCAAATAAGGGAGGGGGTCCCCTTTTATAGGCATTTCCACCTCTATAGAGGATTTCTTTAGAACATAATTGTTCTAGACTTGCTTTTAGGCTTCTCCTACTTCTAGACTTATCCTAGTTTCTTTATGTATATGAATGCTCTAGAAATGCTCTAGAAGAATGTACAAGTATGTACAAGCCTCAAGGGCATTCATGAGGCTTCTAGAATATTTCCGAAGACTTCTTGAAATGTCTTGGGACCTTTGAGAGCTTTTAGAGTGTTCCTAAAACCTCCTCCATCAGCCCTCTTTTCTGTAGGGGCAAGTCAATCTTGTCACCTCGTGACAATGTGGCGTGGAATGACTCCAAGTCTCCAACTCCCACCACACTCAAAATCAGGCGGAAGGGTGGGTGGGATCCCACATCCCACATCCCAACAGCTGGACCCAAGGATTTGGAAAATTAAAATCCCCACTAAGATCAGAAATTTCATTTAGAGGATTTGTCACAATGCCCTTGCTTTAAACAAGAATTTAGCTAAACGAAATCACCTTTCTGCCACAGATGTGTTGATCAGGATAAAGACATCACCCATCTATTGTTGTCCTGTTCCTGTGCAAGAGACAGCCAACTTGGCTAGCTGGCTAGTCCACTAAACTTCAAATCGACTGATTTTTGAAAGACCCTTGCAAATTAATCTGTGGATCTCAAGTGTATTCGACTCTGCAAGATATCCATCCGGGCACCACCAGTACTGGAAAGGAGAGGAGTGCAGCCCGATTCAGATACTAAGCGGGCCAAGCCACATCGCTTATGACTTATGAGAGAGCTTGGCCCCTTTGAGGTGGGTTCTTCTTCACCGCCATTGGTTGAACCATGGATGCCTCCTCCTCTACAAGCTATGAAGGTGATCTGTGATGCGGGATGGGACCACCATGTGGGTTGGCATGGAAATTGGCAAAGCATGATCAGATCTTCTTCAACCAAGGGCTATTCTGATTTCTGGATGCCCGGGTGGACCATGTGCAGAGTTCTTCAGTCATTGATGCTGAACTCCGGGCCATTCGATTAGGCTGCCTAGGAGCTCATTGAACTCCGGACCATGTGCAAGATATCCTTTAGTCATTGATATAGAACAAGGAGTAGTCGGTTGCCTTCTCTCCTGTCTCAGGCGTCATCATTCAGGACTAGGGGTGTCAATTGGACTGGATTTGGTCCAATCCGGTCCAGTCCAATGTGAGTCCATTACAAATGGACCTGGTCCAATCCAGTCCAATGAATATTTTGGACCATTTTGGACTGGTCCAAAGGTTGTCTAATTTGTTCAAATTCTTGTTAATTTAGATTGGTTTCAACTCAAATCTGGTCCAGTGACACCTATGTTCTTATTTTTTATAAGTGGACCAGGTATTGACTCAATCTGATATAAATTCGTTATGGACARATCAGGTCCAATCCAATATATCATATTAGTTTGTCCAGTCCATCCAAATTCAATATGTCTTATTGGTCTGTCCAATCCGTCTAGATGGATTTTGATTTGAACGGAGTCCAACCCAAAACCGGTCCATTGACACCCCTTTTCAGGACATTCAACGCCTTGCTGGATATCATAATAACCGGAAGGAGCTCGAACCGTTTACCACATGCATTGGCCCATGTAGTTTCAAGGCCCAATGCTTCATGGCATGGTTTTCAAAATCGGACCAGACTGGATGGTCAGACCAGAAAAACCAAGAACTGGTCACCTGACCGGTTCCATTTTCCCCCAAAACTGTTGATTTTGGTCAGCAAACCGCTGAACCGGACGGTTAATCGTTCGAACCATTCAAAGGATTTTGACCGTTTTTTATTTTTGTGTCAGAATGGTCGACCCGATAACCAGACCCCTGACCAATTCGATCGTCGAGTCAGTTTTAAAAACCATGCTTTATGGATGAGAAACTTTCATTACTCTTTTTGGATTGGGGTCTTCCTAAATTTGGCCTATTTTGATGTTTATCCTCCATAATTCCAATGAAGTTTTTTTCTGGTTACCCAAAAAAAGTTGTCCTCTTGTAGATTTATTAGCTACTAACATAACACAGGTATCTAAGAATCTCTATAGATTTTATTCATTTTCTAATTTTGGATAGGAATCTAGACTATAGTTACTTGATTGCTAAGTTAGGAACTTCATCTAAAGCCTAAAGGCGATCTTTTTATCTAAGACTATATATAATGTGAAAAAAGGAATATAATTTAATCGGTTGGTAGCTAAACCTATTGCTCCATCTTGATTACTTAGCCATGGATGCTTCAACAGAATTTTATCCATTTGAATTTTTATATTTCTATTTAGAGCTATTCACGAGTCGGGTTGGGTCGGTTTATTGATGTTTATCCAACCGACCCAACCTGGTCGGGTTACCCGAAATTGAAACTGAAATCGACCTTATGTTAAGCAAAACCGACCTGATCGGTTTGAGTCGGTTTTGGTCGGTTTTGGCTCTACTTAGTGGTGACTTAGTTGCTGTTCAAGTGTTCATTTCTAGCTCTACATTCCCAAAGGAAACCAGCATTTCCTTAATGTTTTTGTGGCCCATCCATGGATCTAGTTGTGGAGGGAGCAGAGTTTGAGAGACAACTTAGTTAAGTAGGTTGTAATTAGGATAGAGACAACTTAGTTAAGTAGGAACTAAGTAGGTTGTAACTACTAACTAGGAACTAACTACTAAGTCGGGTTGGGTCGGGTCGGTTTCGATTTTTACACATGAAAACCTAAACCGAACCGAATCATCGGTTTATGATTTTTTATAACCCAAAACCGATCGGTGCTGAAGAAAACTCGACCGACTCGGGTTGGTCGGTTTGGTCGGGTTGGGTCTTCTTATGAACAACCCTATTTCTGTTACATCATGGCTATTAGATTGTATGACCGATTGTGATCTTAAGCTATGATCAAATCACTTAAAATAAAAGTCCATCCCCCGGACCCTAGTCTACTCTCTTTAAGCACTTTACTAGAAAATGGGCAGGGGTTATCACTTCTAGTCTAGTTTGGCTTCAAAATGTGTTTATATAACAGGCCCACATAGCACTAGGGATGGCAWTAGGGTGGGTTTAAGTAGGGTTTAGTAAAATTTAGATCCTACTTGTCTCCTTACACCTCCCAACTCGTACCCACCCAAAAATCCATGATTTTGAGAATCCAAATCCTCCCCGCACACTAAAATACAAAACCCTCTTCAACCCTACCCTCCCCACATTCAAGGGTAGGACAAATTGGATTTAGAACCTTCATCTAATTTCTTATTATTTTTTGTTATAAGCAATAAACAAGTAAAGTAACACAAACAAATGATAAATTTTCCAATTATTAGATTAATACATGTAAAAAACACATAAGCTATCAATGATCCTTCACATAAAATTCAAAATATTATTAACTTCAACACATAATACATAAAGTTTATATGCTTTCCAACAATATGCGGATTAAGGAGGGTAGGGTTATCCTATATGAAAAGTATTTTTGTCAATAATGGAAATGGAACACAACATTTATAGCCAACCCAAACACCATACCACTTTCTTGTCTAGGTGATTAGTTAGAAGTTTAACCATTTGAGTCAAATGGATCTAAATCATGATGTTATAATTAAATATATAAGAATACAAAAATTCATAAAAAAATTGTAAAAATCTCTAACAATATATAGGGTTTGACTATGATACCAAAAAGACATGATATTGGAAAAACTCTTAACCAATCAATCGATATCATAAAGATGGTAACCAATCAGGTGGTATTTATCAAATTTCACAAGAGGGTTTTGATTGGTCAAAGCTCTTCCACTATCATGTATTTCTAGAAGTATAAATTCTCTAGTGTGTGTGTATATATATATATATATATATACATGGAAATAAAATATAAAATTTGATCTGAAAATAAAATTGTTTTTTTTTTCATCTATGTGGTGGATTAGAAATTCAACCATATAGGTCAAACGATCAATGTATAATGTCATAATTAAAATATAAGTTTTTTAAAAAAATAGATAAAAATATAAAAGCATAAAAAATATAAAAAAATTTGGACACAACTCTAATACTATATATACATTGGTCATATAAAAACAAAAAGTATGACAAAATTATTATTAATGATGAAAATGATTACAAAAAATTAATAAAAAAGAATTATTGTTTAACTCATGGCCCCACTAATTGAGTCAAACATTTTGATGGTTCAACTAGACCATGTTGTTGATTGAACCAATGGTATTTTGCAAGCAAGTTATTTGGTGGTAAAATGGACTCTTGCTTAGGAGACAGCTTAATCAGTCCATTATTATTATTATTATTTGAAAATTGAAATCTTAATTAATTCTACAAAAAAATGGATCTTAATCGGATAGTAGTGGATCCATAATATCCCGTAATCGATGCAATCATGTAATTATACAATTATAAGCAGATCTAATTTGGATCGCTCTTCGCTCACGACCGGATCGAATTCGAATTCGTTACACCTGAGCCGAGGATAGAAGACAAAACTTTTTGGGAAATTGGAACAGCGGACGGCACTCGAGTCTCAACCAGAAGGGTCTACAAAATCGACGGTTATAATTAATGAAGCAGGATGATGCCAATCCATCACCCTTTCATTAAAATTCCATAGCCCTCTCTTCTACGAAATCCGAATCCCCACTGCTTTGAAAAGCGAAAGGGATTTGCGTGCGCAAGCGCAATTCGAAGAACGCACAACACAAAAGCTTCGTTTTGAAAAATTCCTTCTCCCATGGCTTCAGTTCGGAAGCGAACGCTTTCTTCTCGATAACGGATAGAGCAAAGCAGGCGAAAAAGCTGTTGATCATCGAAAATGGCTTCTCTCAGTTCATCCAAAAAGGTTAGAGGTTTCTGTAGATTTCTCTCTTTCTTCTCATGGCAACTAGAATCCGTTTTTTCTCTCGGCTTTTCTAGGGCTAGGGTTTCTGTACTTTTCCTTTCTCCGTCTTCTTCCCAAAACAGAAAAAAGATTAAGAATACTTCTTCCCTCGTTATATGGTCTTCTTGAATCCACGAACGCGTGACTGTTTATTTCTAGGGTTAGGATTTTCTCTTTTCCATTCGTTTATCATGGCCTCTGATCTTTAATCGGTGCCTTCTCCGTCATTGAAGCGTACGTTTTAAGAGATCTCGTCTTCAGAAGGATTTGATAGCTTTTGATAATAATTAGAAGATGCGAAGTCGAAGACCTGAGGCTTATCCAACTAACAGTGGCACACGAGAGGAGCGGGCTCCGCGCTCTCGCCGGAGCTTGAGCCCTCATGAAGTTGAGAGGTCTCGGAGGGGCTTGGGAAGAGATCGTCGTAGCACTTCAATTGAAATGAGGGATTACGCTAGACGTTTTGATGGTGGTAGGGAAGATGGTGGTCGTGTCCGTTCTCCATCCCCCCCTTTTGGGCAATCCAGGAAGCGATCACAATTTGATGAGGATTTCCCTCGTAGAGATTCTCTGACTACTGAGTTCCGGAAGAAATATCAATTTACCGAGAGTTTGGATTTGACTGTTGCTCCAAGCTCTAGTTTGAAGCACTTTGGCAGCAGTGCCCTTACTAATAGAATTACTAAAGAGGATTTTCATGGTCGTGGTTCCTCAGCGCTTGATGGGAATGGGATATCAGTCCGGAAATCCATTTACCCAGAGGAAGGAACACAACCATCTTTCTATAAGCTGCCTCCTGACGCTGGACCAACATTAAATCCTGGCAAAATTGGCAGTAATTATTCAACTTCTGCGTCATCGGGTTATTTGAAAATTGGCCTTGGTAAGGATGAGGACCTTTGGTATCACGACCGCTTGCGTCCAGAAGTATCAGCTAGAGAATCTTATAAGAAAGAAGAAAATGCTATGTTCTCTTCAAGGGATATTGCTTGCTCTACAGTGCCATTGTCTCATTCCAAGGATCTTGGTGGCACATCTTCAAGCCTTTTGAAGGATGAATTCCGAGGTCCTTACCAGAACCGTCTGCCTTTTGACCATGATAAATATAGCCGTGCAGCACCTTTTGACACTGGAAGGAACCCTGGTCTACATAGAAAGGACACAATATCCTACCAGCCAGGCTCACATAACCTGGTCGCGGCTGGGCGTCATGATTATAATTACCCTGAGCTTGGGAGAAGAGACAGGGATGCAGCATATCAATCTGATGATATATACAGAAAGATGCTGCCCAGTGGTCGAGCAGACTATGACCATAGAGATCAACTAGGGGCAGATTATATGGTAAATAGTCAAACTGAAAGTTCTCATAGAAGTCTGAGGGAGACAGGGTTTTGGGACCATCCTTCTTTACAAGGAGAACCACACCCAGATTACCTTGGAATGAACAGGGTTCCACTGACAACAGAGAAAAAAAGGGAGTTTGTGGGTCCTAGAAGTGCTCAAGTTGATTTTGGAACAAGAGTTTATGGTGATCATGAAATGTCTAGGTTGGGTGTGGATTATGGTTTTGGAAGAGGTGCTCATTCAGGGCTTTATAAAGAGGGATTAAAGAATCCATCTGTGTCTGATGTAAGCCCACAAAGGGTGTTGAAGACTGATGAACTTGGCATCTATGATGCATCTGGAATTGTTGCTAAGAGAAAATACAGCATGGATGAGGAGATGAGTGGGCATGGTTCCAGAATCCCATTTTCAAGTAAAAGGAGCACTTCTAGCCGTGTTCAGGAGCTGGTTGACAGTGATGAACAATGGTCTGGTAAAAATCGAAGTGGGTTATTACATTCTAAACGTTTGAGTTTTGGGCACTTTCCGAGTAGAAAGGCTGGGAGGTCATTTGCCAGAATTGCTCATCGCAAGTTCCTTGCAACTGATGATAGGTTGCCAGCTCAAGATCTAGCAGGACATGTGCAAGGGCATCGTATTGAATCAAGTATCCGTGGTGGAGGAAAAATAAGTGTAAAGAAGCGATTGAGACCTGGTCCCTCAAATTTTCATAATCCATTCAGACATGATTTTCACAAATCATATAAATATTTGAAGAGGAATCATGATGATCTTCATGGAGGTATGAATGTACATGATGATGAACAACCAAAAGATCAGCCAAATTCTGTCAAGTCTGACCCACCAAAAGATTCTGAAGAGTTTAAGCAGCTGGTACATAAAGCATTCCTTAAGTTTGCAAAACAGTTGAATGAGAACCCAGCTCACTGGAGAAGATACAAGGAACAAGGAAAAGCCAGTATTCTACGTTGCAGCGTGTGTCGCAGGTTTGTCTTCTATTCTGCAAAATGATATGAAAGTGGAGCACTTGGTCCCCTCCTTATATATTTTGATCCGGAAGTTACTTAATATTACATTATTACTATTTTGCTTCAACCAAGCAAGTATCAACTATCCACAGTAGGAGTTCATATTTGCCTTAGAAGGATTTTATCTGTTAGGTTTCCTTTGAGGCTTTATCTTAGAAACATTGTTTTTTCTTTGGTATGGATTTTTTGGAGAATATTAAAAGAGGAGATGATAATGAGGGGTATGATGCTTTGCGGTGGGTATGTCCAAAGGTCTTAGTTGAACCCTCCGCTTTGCAAATTTTGCAAGGTAACTGCAAGAGACCTCCTGACTGTTGAAATATGCAAGGGCTCATTAGTTCCTGACAGCTGTTAATCTTTTCTTGGTGGAGGTGACTAATGGAACAATAGACTTCGGAATATTAAGAGGTTCTATTTCTCAAATGTTACTTGCCAAATCAAAATGACTGAATCACTGATCGAATGTTGCTTGGATTTGTATTCTAAGGCCAGCTACATGATCATTCTTTCAACATTAGTCTGCGTGTTCATTCAAGTTGAATGAAACATTGGTTTTGGTATTGTCTTGTTTGATTTTGCATTTTGGAGTTTGCACAATTTTTGCAGATTATCTGTTGAGAAGGATGTATTTTGAGTTGAAATGCGAGCATCTGATGGTGCTATTTTTGGGTCTGTTGGCTTAACAATTCCTCTTACTGCCATCTTCCCTTCCTCTTAGGTTGGTCCAATTCTCCTCATGCTGGGTTGTCTGAATGTTAGGTTAAAGACGGTAGTTACCTGGTTATCTGGTTGATGAGTTCAATTAGTTTGGATTCAGCTCCATTGTTCTTAATTTGCAATCCTTTAAGTAACAAGGTTTGGAAAGAGTAGGCTTAGGTTTCTCTTCTAGTTTGTCAGAATTCATTTCATTTTTAAAATTTCCACTTTCTTTTGTTAAGATATGATTGTTAGGATAATATTTTGGGAGAACTTTTTCTGGTTCACCAAAAGCAATCAGAATAGTTTTTGAAGTGTTAAGAAAAGTGGTGAACCCCTTTTCCTAAGATGAATAAAGGGGGAGTCATACACAGTACTAAGAGACACATAGGAAAGGTTTTATGTATTTCCTATTTTATAGGTGTTTGAATTGTCCTTTCCTTTTTCACTAGATGTCTTATGATCTTCCAGATTATTCTATCTTATTTTGTGTTTCCTTTCTTTAATATAACCTTTTTACTAGGCTAAATCTTCTCTTCTTGAACTATTATATATCATGCAATGTGGGCCTAATTGAACCAATCTGCAAACATAGTACTAGCCTACTAGGTGGCATATTAGGTAACTATGGTAGAGACTAGAGAGGATGCCTTTCAGAACCCTACTTTAAGAATAAGGCTTTTTCTAGTGTCTGTACAACTATGCTTTTCCACTTAATATTTTATCAAATCTATACTTTAATATTTTACAGGGATTCGGTCATTTACATCCATACTTTAATATTTTATCAAATCTTTACTTCTGAAGGAATTTATCCTTTGAATAATTCTATAGTTACCTAGAAAATTTGTTAATTGTGACTTGAGCTTCAGTCAATGAGATTCTTGCAACTCATTGGTCAGAGTGTAATCTGGGATAGGTAAAGAAATATGGGGGGGTGCATCAATTTATTCATTTGAAGGTTATTTACTGAGGAATTCTGTAGTAAGTTTTCAATCAAGAAATGTCTAGGAATTCATGGTTGTATGCCTACAAAGTGGGAAAACTAGGGCTGAAGCTTCACTTGTTTTTTATTTTTTTCATTGTGTAGTGTCCTGATATCTCTTGCCTTGATAAATCTTTGGATACCCTGTTTACACGAAGTAAATATATTTTCATTTTTTCATTTCAAAATTCAAGATTTTAACACATTCTTGAATTTATTTTAAATTTGGGGATCTCTTCCCTGGTTTATTAATACAATTAATTACCTACCTTTCCAAAAAAAGATTTTAACAAATTCTGATACAAGGAAATTTATTACTTTTATATGAGAGAGAAAGATTATCCTTCGGTTAGTTTAGTTGGTTACTGTTGAACCATACCTGTTTGTTCTTTTTCGTATCCTCTCATTCTCCATGGAAATGGTGTTTGCACCACACGATATTTGTTTCCTTAGCAATTCGTTTCTTTATGTGTTGTGCCTTTTCAGCCTCTCAAAAGATTTTATAGATACACAAAGTTTGGCAGCACATGCCTGGATGTCTCCCAAGGTTGGATTAAGAGCAGAGCACTTGGGTCTTCACAAAGCAATCTGTGTTTTTATGGGATGGAACAGTTCTGTCGCCCTGGATAGTTCATGGAATCCCCAAGTATTACCTGATGCGGAAGCTTTGGCTGTGAAGGAGGACCTCATTTTATGGCCTCCCCTTGTCATAATCCATAACAGTTCAATTGGGAACAAGAATCCAGAAGGACGGAAGATTGTAACGATAGAAGAAATGGAAGCTAAGCTCAGAGGTGTGCCACTTTAGAATGGACGTCAGAGGTTTATTTAACCTGAAATTTTCATTTTGCGCTTAAAATCTATGGGTTTCTTGTGGGTATGCATGCTGTTATAGCAGGCACTATCTAAGATTTCTTTTGCCCCAGTATTGAACTGATAAAATGAAATCTAATATCCTTGTTGATTTTAACCTGGATTCTTTCTATTTCTTGCCCATTTTTCTTCTTCTATTTGCAGATATGGGGCTTGGTGAGGGAAAAACTAAGGTATGCCGTGGGAAGCCTGCAAACCAGAGTATTATGGTGGTCAAATTCCTTGGAACCTTTTCTGGAATGCAAGATGCTGAGCGCCTTCAGCAGTATTTTGTTGACACCAAACATGGGAGGCAAGAGTTCCAGCAGATTAATTCCAGTGGCAACAAAAATGGAAGTGGAGAAGCAGGAGCACAGGCGGACCATATCCTATATGGATATATGGGGATTGCAGAGGACTTAGATAAACTTGATTTTGAAACCAAGAAAAGATGCGTTCTGAAGAGCAAGAAGGAGATCAAAGCCATTGCAGATGCTCCTCTCAACTGAACGAGGGTGCCAAATGTGTTATATAATGGTCAAATGTAAGTAAAGCCTAATGACTACTAGTTTTTGCTGATTGAGTGAAAAAGAATACCGTCATACTGATCAAATTTGGGATTTTATACGCTAACCACATAACAAATTTATTTTTAGGGGGCCAAGTGTAGAGCGTTCATATTCTTTTTTTTTTTTTTTTTCCGTTGATATGTGGGTGTACGCTCTGACTAATGAAAAGCAATTGTCTTTTTTGAAGTGCAACACCTGCTTTTCTTCCTTTTTCCCTTTCTAACTGCTTTTTCGGCAAGTATGGCGCATGTCGATGTGTTCATATTACCACATTTAAAGCTAGAGGAAATCTTGTGGGCATTCGCCAATCTGTGGTTTAGTTTTTGAAAACAAAAACTGTCGTATCAGCAAAATTATGTTGTTTATGCTGATGTGTTGTAGATGCTTTTGTTTCCAGAAACAAAACCATACACGTTGGCTGGCAACCTTTTGGTTTATCCGATTGGTTGCCTGCTGACTAACCGGTGGGGGGGAGGGGGGCATCAGATTGGTCTGTTCTGCCGGTGCTGAAGACGGTTATCCCCAGCAAGTAGAGGCAGACCACCCTAATGATCTGATCTACACTCCTGGGAGGAGCATAGGTGGACTGCTAGAAGTAGGGTCATTGTCATCTCCCCCACCGAAAAATGAAATGCATTGTTGGAATATCACATCTCAGCCAAGGCCTTGTTTGAAGAGCACCATCACTATAGTCTATAGAATGGTTTAAGCTTCTCTTCAAACCCTGTTATTACCACCCAAGCTATGAAATTTATGATGTGTATTTTGGCTCAACACTTCGTTTTTAGTGATTGGTGGGAGTGTGGCAGCCTTATTTCCCTACATTTACATTTAAGAGACGAGTGTAGAAAAATGGAGAAAGACAGAAAAAAAAGAAAGCATTCCGAGCCATAAGATGACCCAGCCTATTTATTCGAAGATCTGGAAACATACTTAAAACTATATTTACAACCTTGAGCGAAAAAGAAGGGTAAATCTTTTAAACTATTTTTACTATTTGCGAAATTAACTAACTGTATCTTTACTGTTTATATATCGTCTAATGTTACCTTTACTGTTTCTGACAATTGACTAGCTTTACCATTATTTTTACTATTTGTGCACATGTGACCCCATGTGGCCTATAAATTTTTTTTGTACCCCTGTCTTAGCATCCGTTAATGTTCCGTCACAATTTGTGCAGTGACATTGCGTGAACTACAATTTTTTTGAAAACCCAATATTACCCTCATCCTGACCTCCCACTCTCTCTCCATTCTCAGACCTACCCTCTGCCTTTGTCTCTCTCTGGTCTCTCTCTCTCTCTCTCCATTCTCAGACCTCTCCCTCCTCTCTTGGTCTCCCTCTTCTTCAACTGTAATAACAGCCATGCCTCTTTCAATTCCAACAATATTTTCTCGACAACCGATTCAGAACTTGATTGAATCGAAGTTCCCGCTTAGTGTATCTCAGTTCCCATCTCTCCTCAACGAATCACAGACCCTGTCAATGATTTCCCCACTCTTTGATTCTTCCTTGCCTGTGTGAATTGCTTCAACCATTTCTAACCCATGAATCTGAAAGTGAATACGTCGGAAGTTACGGAATTCTTTGGAGATCAAGCTCCATCTCTGTTTCTCTCAGACACAATGGATCAGAATGCTCAAAGACGGAAAGGAGACCACGATACACAGCCCAATCGAATTCTCTTAGCTACACAGTCCATCACCTGCTCTATCATATAATAGTGAAAGTGTTGCATTAAGTTTTTTCTCCTCATGGATTTGTCCAGAAGATCGTCACATTTCAGAAGTCAGCTGGTTTTCAAGCACTTATTCAGTATCAGTCACGCTAGAGTGTTGTTTCAGCAAGAACTGCTCTTCAAGGTCATGATATTTATGGTTGTTGTTAATTAGATATTCAGTTCTCAAACCTTAGTGAGCTACAAGTGAACTACAAAGAACTACCAATACTGTTGCCCCCCCAACCAAGATGATTCACCTGTCCACCCTACCCCAGGACATCACAGAGGAAGAAATCATTCCCCACCTGGAAGAGCATGGAAATATTGTTAACACCAAACTCTTTGAGGTGAATAGGAAAAAGCTGGATCTTCTCACTTTACGGTAGTGATACAGGAGAGAACAGAGAAAATACTGTGGCATTCTCATCCTGCCAATTCAAGAGTAAGCACGACAATCGCTACGGGCGACTGCCGTTTCCGCCATTAGCGTCGGCAGGCCCAGGACAGTATAGCGTGATTGATGCTGTGGCTGTGCTATGCTCTTTATTTTTGTTTTGGGTTTTTATTGAATTTATCACAGAGGAAGAAGAAGGCTGATAATACTGATCAGCCGGCTATTATGCCTGAACTAATCAATTCAATGCCTGAACTAATCAATCCAAGCCCCAATCTCTCTCTCTTGCACTCACCTCAGCTCGTCGGAAGCAACTCATTGCAGCCCTAACCTGCGGCGGTGGTCCTCTATAAACAACCACCGAGTTGCAGGGTGAGATCGGTGGAGGCGATAGTGACAGAGGTATTCAGTAGAAGAAAAAGAGAAAAAAATGTGAGAGGGTGTCAGTGCCGCTACCTGTGAAGGTATTAAATTTGAAGGCGATACAGATCCGTAACTTCCACTCAGTGTATCACCGCCATTATTGTAAGTTGCAGTGGTGGCTGTGATTTTGATAGATCCAAACACAGAGGGGTGAAGGGGAGGAGGAAGAAGAAGATCGCCACTGCTACCGGAAGTTATAGTGGTGACGGCGATTTTGGCGTCGAACCCCTGTGTAAGAGAGAGAGAGGAAAAGTTTGTCTGGTAGCGTTTTGTTTGGAGACGAGCTGCGTGTTTCGCAGCCAAAACTGTTGAGTTGGGTTTTATTTTGAAAGAGGGCCAATTCGATATTTCGTTTCTTTCTGTCAGCACTTAGCACTTAGCGTCGATGTCAATTTTTCGAAATAATAAGGGTAGCGTTGGACAATATGTAAATAATAGGGTACAGTTAGTCAATTTCACAAACAATAGGGGTAGTTTTAGAGATTTACCCCAAAAAAACACCTTAAATGGAGTCCATCAAATGCTCGACAGACCAATGAGGGAATCTGTGAAAATAGTAAACGTATTGAAGCCCTGACTATAAGCAAACAAAGTATGTGTTTGGTTTTGATTATATTTTTTTCAATGTTTGTACTTTATTTACTTGTAAAATTGATAAAGGTAATAATTACAAATATTCATGACAACTACGCGCTATTAGGCACCACATTAGAGTAGTGAAAAAACGTCGAACTGTTTGAGAAAGCTTTAAAAAATAACTAACCCAAATGATAGGTGCACAGAGAAACCAAAGTCTATATTTATTATTCTCGATACGAGGGGAACTACTAAAGTGGCGCCTATGTGGCAGTATTTATTTAATATAAACACCCACAGAACCAAACACCCTGAAAATCACAGGCAAAGTCTCCTTAAACTCCACTCCACCAATTTCCTTACTGGCCCCTGTAGTAGCAATAAAATTTCCGCCATTAGATGAACAAACAAACCCAAAGGCCCCCTTATTAGGGTTAATCGAACTACCATCACAAAAGAAAAATTATTACTGAGAGACACGGGTAGAATAGGTACCTGCTCAGAAATATTTCACAACTCACAGAACCAGAGCACGAAGAGGGAAACCAAGAACTTATACAATCAGAGAAAGCAGACTTTATTTTCTCAAGCCCTATCCAGTTTCCAATGAACCCCTTTGAAAACAAGATCATTCCTAAGTGATGGTGCGCAATCCGGCCGGTCCTAACTGTCAACAACCTTGCCTCTGAATGGAGCAACAGGGGGCCTGAAATGGAGAAGAAAGTGGGGAGTCTTCGGGGAGGAACCCGGTGAGATTGCTCCGAAGCTCAAATTAGTACTCTCAAAGGCAAGATAAAGCCAGATGGCACAAAGTTCACATACCTTGTTCTTGGGGGGTAGAGAGCCTTTTATAACCACCTCGCGCACTCACTCCTAAGCTTCTGTCAGGTCAGGTATGATTACTTCCGTGCTTCTGCTAGTTCGGGTGTCATCACCTCTACTGGGGCAGAACCACCACTGCTCCTTTTGTCGGAGTCGTCTCTGTAACTGGAGATGGCGGTGGCAAGTGGCAGTGGCAGGTGGCCGTTGAAGTGCGGCTGTCAAGCGTCAGATCCCAAGTCAGTCAGGTGCGCCGCCCCTGGATATGGACTCCTTCGGTGTTAGGTACGGTGTGGTTGTCTAGTTCGGCGTCCTGGAGGCGAAGTGCTGGAGTGGTGTGCGAGGTGAAGTCTTGAGTTCGGATAGAGGTGTGGCCCGAACTGCCATGGGGCAGGCCAGTTCGGGTTGTTGCTCTTTGTGTTCGCAAGGCTCGGGGTCTAAGGGAGAGCTCGGGCTTCTTACGGGGAGTTCAGGCTCTTTACAGGGAGTTCAGACCGCTGGTTCCTCCTTTCGGAGCTCGCGCCTTGGCGAGCTGTTGCCTTTGCCACGTGTTGAGTGGTTACGAGGTCGGGCCAAATCTTCCTTCATCAATTGCCCCCCACTCCTCGTGCTAAGGGTCTTGCCCTGACGCGGGGAGTTCGCGAGGTGGCGGGTGGATTTGTCCCGTACTTTGAATTGGTTGACTGATAGCGTGAGGTGCGCGTCGTCAGGATTGTTTCGGGTTTCTCGAGCGCCAAAAAGACGGGAACGCACCAATCTGCCTACAAATGCTGACAGACGTGACAGCGCATGCCTTATTTCAAAATTCAAAAAGCGCGCCGCTGGGAGATGTGACAGCGCGCGCTTTATTTCAAAATTCAAAAAGCGCGTCGCTCGGAGACGTGACAGCGGGCGTCTTTTCAAATTTAAAAATGCGCTGCTGCCGCCTTTAATGTGAGGAGACGTGCGCTTTCAGTTTCGAGGGACGTGTGGCCAGTCACGTATCCGTCTCAGGAGACGTGCGGTCAGCGCAACTGCGGGTCGTCGGATTGGCTTTGATTTGAGCCGTTGATTCTTGGTTACTGTGGGTATAAATAGTGGGGGACCCCAGTCGCTTTGTCACTTCTGCGTTTTGCTTCTTGAGCTCGCGTCCAAGCCTTTAGTTCGCATTCAAGCTTTTAGCTCATGTTCAAGTTCCCGTAGTCCGTTCAAGCCTTTTTCCGGGTGAGTACTTTCCTGGAATCCACCTTCTCCTCCCGATGTCTAGCTCGGATAGCT